TTTTTTTTTATTAGATTCAACTTTATTGTCATAACACATGTACAAGTACAATGCAACGAAATGCAGTTTAGGTCTAACCAGCAGTGCAATAGCAGCAAGTGCTGGATACAGGTATAAATTATAAAGTACAGTTATAGAAAAACTATGGTGATATTTACAGATAGATGTACTCAGAACATTATATACAGGTTGTATTAGCTATGAACAGAGATTTACAATTTTCTTTCTATAACTAAAGATGTTAGTTAAAGATAATACACTCTTATTTTAATAAATCTCTGTTTTGTTTCTTATTTCAATTGGATTTGTTTTTCTGTATTATTGTGAGATTAAAAAAAACGTTGGTTTTATGTGGTGTAAACAACAATAAATTATTATTATTTTATTAATAATAATAATAATAATAATAATAATAATAATAATAATAATAATAATAATGACAAATATACTTTTATAAACAAAAAGAAGTGCTAACATTCTGCCACTAGAGGGATCTGCAGCATCTGAGCACATAAACTGATAATGCTGACAGAAAACCTAATCAATTGATGAAATTCTTCAGTCTGATTTAACTGATTTTGTGGGGGGTGTATGTGTGTGTTTGCAGTGATGGCAGTTCCTCTAGGAAGGGCTTTAGGGACGTGAGCTCTTCACTTCTTATCAGGCTTTAGTGAAATCCTCACTCAGCAAATGTGAATGAGAGACTCTCAGTGACGCGTACACACAGGAATCCCACACACACACACACAGAGTCTGCAAAGAGGAATGTTTGTCTGCTAAAAGGTCAGTAAGTGTTTGCTACATCACAGGTTGAGTGTTACTAAGTTAATATTTACCACAAGCATCAGCATTCTATTCTATTCTATTCTATTCTATTCCAGGGGTTCCCAAACTTTTCAGCCCGCGACCCCAAAAATAACAATGCCAGTGACTCGCGACCCCCAATATCCTCTCAGGTATAAATACAGAAACCTTGCATGCAATGACGCAGACACACCAATTAAATTTTTTAACGTGTGTCAGGGCTTTAAATGTGCCAGAAAGTATAACCTGATGTTATAAAATCAAAATGCATCTGACGCTATTGCTGCTTTTAATATAATGTAATTACCCCAGGGGTCGCAATCCAATAGAACTAGTAACTATAAGCTACTATAGTTACTATATAGTATATATTAAATATAAACGACTATTTTTATTTTCAGTATAGTTATGGATAAAATATGTTAATTCTTATGGTTTAATAAAAATAAATAGATTTTTGGAAAATCACCAGGCGACCCCCCTTCATTGCCCCGCGACCCCTCGGGGGGTCCCGACCCCCACTTTGAGAACCACTGTTCTATTCTATACTATTCTGGATTCTTGCAGTTGTCACAAAGCCAGTGCAGGTTGTTTAATCACTGTTTATTTATCGGTTAAGAGTTTCCTTTCATTCATTTTCTTTCGGCTTAGTCTCTGATTTATCAGAGGTCGCCACAGCAGAATGAAATGCCAATTATTCCAGCATATATTTTATGCAGCTGATTCCCTTCCAGCAGCAACCCAGTACTGGGAAACACCCACACACTCTCATTCACACACACTCTCTCACAAAAACACACACACACTCACTGCAGCCAATTTAGTTTATTCAAATTTTAACTCTAGGGAGTGTCTATAGGGAGTGTCTTTGGGGAAACCGGAGCACCCGGAGAAAACCAACGCCAACTCAGGAAGAACATGCAAAGTGAGTGGCTCAGCTGGGACTCGAACCAGCGACCTTCTTGCTGTGAGGCGACAATGCCTAACCACTGAGCCAACATGGCACCCATTTCAAAAAATGACAAAAGTTAACTTTAGTGACAAAATTGAAAATATGAAAGGCTAATTCAAATACAGTATATGATGTAGTAAATATACTGTAAAGCACTATAAAAAGCAAAGTACATTAACACTAAACAAAACAAACATGTCATATTTGAAATTCTTTATATTATAATAAGCCCTCTTTTTTTAAGTATCACTAAAATTTTTTTTATTTACTATAAACCCCAACAGTCAACTTTATCAAGTGAAATGAGTAGTTAAGTTAAAATTTACTTCTCATTCTACTCATGTGAAAAGAGTTTTGAACTCAGTGTTGAAGGTAATGAAAAAAACCTCATTGATGCATGCATCTATAGCCGTTTTAGCTATGAATGTACACACATTTACTTAAGTAATTAAGCAGAATCAATGATGGGCTAAAAATCTGTGGAAATCTACGGAATTCTGCATGCACAGATTTCGTGTGGGCCCTACTCATTACTTCAATTTAAATGCAGTAAGTTTATAGTACTCAAATAGATTAGTTTTTTTTTTTTTTTAACTCAAATGGTTTGTAGCAATGGATTTCCTCAAACGGTTTGAGTTGCCTTAACTTATTGGGTTTTACAGTACTCAGTTGGTTTGAGTTCTCTTTATTTCTTGCGTTTTACTGTGCTCAAGTTGCTCCATTTACTCAACTGGATTGAGTTCACAGTACTCATTTGCATTGGTTTTTGAATTTGAATGGTTTGTTGCAATTGGTTTCCTCAAACGGTTTGAGTTACCTTCACTTTTTGGGTTTTATAGTGTTGGATTTACAAAAGTTAACTGGTTATAAACTATTTGGGGCTGAATTTAAACAAACACATTAAGTTAAACATTACTATATTTTATTTGGTTGTTCAGGCTGAATTTAAACAAACAAATTGAGTTTGTTAAACAAATCTGTTTGTTTAAATACAGGCCATATAAATAGTTTGCAACCCATTATCTCACAAAACAAAATTATTAAATCCAATGAATCATTTTTCAGCAGTGTAAACATCTAATTTATTAGACCAGTATACTAAATTGTATTGTTTGCTTAAATCAGGCTATATATATATATAATATAATATATGTAAATATATATATATAATATTATATTATAAAAATTATATATATAAAAATTATATAAAAATTATATATATATATAAATATATATAATTATATATTGGTAAATTTAAAAGGAATAGTAAATCCGATTAATATTTTTTGACTAGCCGAGTAAACATCTGTGCGCTTCTTGAATGTATGTCTGCCGCTCCAGATCCAGCGGGATCTCCACTCCGCTCCAGGGTTTCTCGCCGCCTTTCCTTAAAAGCACTCGCTGAGTTTAAAGCGCAGAAAAACACGGCAGCGGCTGCAGAAGCGGCAGCGGCGGATCTCATCGCGGACCAGTGTGTGTGAATGAAAGTGTGCGTGTGTGTGTGCAGGATGATGGAGGACGAGCCGCGAGAGACCCTGGACTAACCATTTTTGTTTTATTTTGTACATACAAATGGAACCTGTTTGCGTTTCCGTCCCAGGCTGGATGTTATACTGAAACACTGTAGATGAGAAAATGCCGTTCTCCAAGCGCATCGTGGAGCCCCAGTGGCTGTGCAGGCGCTCGGACACGGAGGACGAGCTGCTTCAGGATTTGTGCGCCTTCAGTAACGTGGCTCTGTCCCGGACCCTGCGCCAGCTGTCGGACCTGGCCAAACACGCCTGCTCGCTTTTCCAGGAGCTCGAGAATGAGCTGCTTTTCACGAACCGGCGGGTGTGCGCGCTCCGGGACACCGTCAACCGTATCCAGGAGAACACCGAGGCGCTCGACCCCAAGCAGGAGGCAGTGCGTGAGTACAAACTCTTTCGCTGAGTCTTCGCTGACTGGAGAAGTTGCTTTATTTGTGGTTTAAAGCGGAGGTATTGCTTGTGCAGATGTGGATACGTCCACCTTTACTTTATTTACCTTCACTTTTAAAGGAACGTGATGCTAATTGTAGTGTTAAAGGGATAGTTCACACTCAAAATGAACATTTAGTCACTGTTTACTCTTGCTCAAGTGGTTACAAACTTTTAGGACTTTCTTTTTTTTCCTGTTGAACACGAAATAAGGTATTTTAAAGAAAGCTGAAAACCTGACCAACATCGTAAGTAAACAAATACTATCCAAATAACAAAGTTATATTTCTATACTACACAGTCAATACTGACTGGAATTGTTGCGAGTTCAGATGTGGATATGTCAACTGTCCAGCTTTTAAAGCAAACAGGAACGTGATTCATATTGTAGTATTAAAGGGGTAGTTCACGCTCAAAATGAACATTTACTCGCCATTTACTCTCCCTCAAGTTGTTCAAATATCATCCAGCTAGGTTTAAAGTAAACAGAAAGGTGATTCATATTGTTGTATTAAAAGTGTTAAAGCATGTTCACCCTTAAAATGAAAATTAACTCACTATTTACTCTTTTTCAAATGGAGGTAAAGTTGGTTTTATATTAGCAGATTCAGACTTCTCCGTTAATAATATAATTTCATAAAAGTGTTATTTGCAAACTCTAAATAGTGAAATCATATTAGCAGCCAATGACTATCAAAGTACAACATTGCTCACGGTCAAATAAACAGTGTTAATGTTGATTTCAAGTCATACTGGCATGCTAATTCTGATCGAATATTCAAAGTAACATGGTAAACAATATATAGACTTCTAAATGAACGAATGTGCGAATATAAAACCAACTTTACCTCTATTTTTTTCAAGTGGTTCCAAAGCTTTAGGAGTTTCTGACTTTTTCTGTTGACCAAAAAATAAGATATTTTGAAGAATGCTGGAAACCTGACTAACATTGCAGGTAAACAAATACTACCAAATAACAAAGTCTTTTTACTATAACGTTTCTACAAAATGACTTTACTGACTGGAAAGTTGTTTTATTTGGTGTTTAAAGTGGAAGTATTGTGAGTCCAGAAGTGAATATGTCAACTGTCCACCTTTACTTTTTGAAGTAAACAGGAACGTGATGCATATTGTATTATCAAAGGGGTAGTTCACACTCAAGAGAAAGTAAAAAAGTGATTCAATTTTCATTTTAAGTTGTTTAAATGTCATTCAGGTGGTTTTGAAGTAAACAGAAAGGTGATGCAAATTGTGTTAAAGCAATTGTCATCAGCTGTCCACCTTTAGTTTTATTGTAAACAAAAATGTGATGCAAATTGTGGTATTAAAGGGGTAGTTCACACTCGAAATGAAAATTTGCTCTTCATCAAGTTGTTTCAAAGCTTTAGGAGTTTGGTCATTTTCTTCTGTTGAACACACAATAAGATATTTGGAAGAAACCTGACTAACATTGCAGGTAAACAAAAACTATACAAAAAAAAAAAGTCTGTACTGGCAGCAAAGTTGTTTTATTATTTATTTAAGGGGGAAGTATTGCGAGTCCAGATGTGGATATATTAACTGTCCACCTTCACTTTTAATGTTAACAGGAACGTGATGCAGTTTGTAGTGTTAAAGGGGTAGTTCACACCCAAAATGAAAACGTACTCACTATTTACTCCCCATCAAGTGGTTCCAAACTTTTAGGAGTTTCCTTTTTTTCCTGTTGAACACAAAATAAGATATTTTAAAGAAAGCTGAAAACCTGACTAAGATCTTAGGTAAACAAATAGGCCATAAAAACGACAAAGTCTTTTTACTATAACATTACTACACAATGACTTTGCTGACTGGAATGTTGTTGTTTTTTTTGTCTTTAAAGTGAAATTGTTGCAAGTCCAGATGTGCATGTCAGCTGTCCACCTTTACTTTTTAAAGTAAACAAAAACATGATGCAAGGAGTAGTTCACACTCAAAATGAAAATTGAGCACTATTTACTTTCTCTTAAGTTGTTTAAATGTCATTCAGGTGGTTTTGAAGTAAACAGAAAGGTGATGCAAATTGTGTTAAAGCGATTGTTCACCCTTAAAATGAAAATTTACTCACTATTTACTCTTTTTCAAGTGGTTCCAAAGCTTTAGGATTTAGTTACTTTTTCTGTTAAACACACTAAAGTGTGTATACAAGTTATGCAAATACAAACAATAAAGTCTTTTAATAAACTACACAAAGTCTTTACTGACTGGAATAATTGCGAGTCCAGATAGGATGCATCAGCTGTCCACCTTTAGTTTTATTGTAAACAGAAATGTGATGCAAATGTGATGCAACATTGTAGGTAAACAAATAGGCCACTATACAAACAACAAAGTCTTTTTACTATAACATTAATACACAATGACTTTACAGACTGGAAAATTGTTTTATTTGGTGTTTAAAGTGGAAGTATTGTGAGTCCAGATGTGTCAACTGTCCACCTTTACTTTTTGAAGTAAACAGAAACGTGATGCATATTGTAGTATCAAAGGGCAAAATTGAGCACTATTTACTTTCTCTTAAGTTGTTTGAATGTCATTCAGGTGGTTTTGAAGTTAACAGAAAGGTGATGCAAATTGTTTTAAAGCAATTGTTCACCCTTAATGTAACGACTGGGGGGAGTGACACTCACAACAGAAGGTAAGATCCAATATGCAGGTTTATTCAGCGTCAGGCAAGCAGTGGTCAAATCAGGTGTTAACAGGTATATGCAGGCAAATCCAAAATCGTAATCAATATTCAGGCAATAGGTCAAAAGGCAGGCGGCTAAACAGGAGAACAGGGTATACAGGGCTAAGGTCTAACACGGAGAAAACAATACAGGGAACCGCGTTGTAATGTCACCGTAAAGCAAACAAGACTCGGTACCTGGATGAGTTCATGAGTGGCTTATGTATGGTGTGATATCAGTCTGTGACAAGGTTTAGCTGGTGATTGTAATTAGAATAGATGAATGAACAGACGTGCGTGTCTGGGAGCAGTGCATGTATGAAAATGTAGTCCTGGGAAATGTGAAAATGTAGTTCTGAGAGTTCGTGTGAGAACCAGCTATCTCTGGAGAGCGATCGGTGGTTGTGTGACACTTAAAATGAAAATTTACTCACTATTTACTCTTTTTCAAGTGGTTTCAAAGCTTTAGGATTTAGTTACTTTTTCTGTTAAACACACTAAATGTCAAGTGTCCACCTTTACTTTTGAATCAATAACGTGATGCAAATTGTAGTATTAAAGGGGTAGTTCACACTCAAAATGAATTTACTATTTACTATTCACTATTTACTCTTTCATCAAGTTGATTCAAACGTTCAGGAGTTTCTTTTTTTCTGTTGAGCACAGATTCGATGTTAAGATGAGTAAGAAAAGATATTTTGATAGAAGATATTTTGAAGAAAGCTGAAAAACGTCATAGGTAAATAAATGCTATAGTATTAACGTTAATGGTTTTCAGTCAACTGTCCAGCTTTACTTTTAAAGTGAAAAGAAACGTGATGCAAATGATAGTTTTAAAGGGATAGTTGACCCTCGAAATAAAAAAATTACTCACTATTTCCTCTCCCTCGAGTTGTTATAAAACTTTAGGGAGTTTCTTTTTTTCTGTTGAACACAAAAGAAGATGTTTGCACGTTCTCCCTGCATGCGTTCGCGTGGGTTTCCTCCAGGTGCTCTGGTTTCCCCCACAGTCCAAAGACATGAAGTACAGGTGAATTGGGTAGGCTAAATTGTCCGTAGTGTATGAGTGTGTGTGGATGTTTCTCATAAAAAACGTAAAGCATAAAAAACATGCTGGATAAGTTGGCGGTTCATTCTGCTGTGGTGACCCTTGATTAAATAAGGGACTAAGCCGACAAGAAAATTAATAAATGAATGACAAAAGAAGATATTTTGAAGAATGCTGAAAACCTGACTAACGTTAACATCGTATGTAAACAAATACTATAGAATGGAAGCCAATGGTTTTCAGCTTTCTTCAACAAGGTTTGAAACGTGAAATAAAGGGTGTGTAAATGATGGCAGAATTTAGCTGACCCCAAGCAGGATGCAGTGAGCGAATACAAACTCTTTCACTGAGTCTTCACTGACTGAAAAAGTTGCTTTGTTTGGCGTTTATTGTGGAAGTGTTGTGAGGCCAGATGTGGGTATGTCAAGTGTCCACCTTTAGGGTTAAAGTAAACAGGAACGTGATGCAAATTGTAGTGTCAAAGGGATAGTTCACACTCAAAATGAACATTTACTCACTAGTTCCTCTCCCTCGAGTTGTTATAAACCTTCAAGGAGTTTCTTTTTTTCTGTTGAGCACAAAAGAAGATATTTTGAAGCATGCTGAAAACCTGACTAATGTTAACATTGTATGTAAACGAATACTATAGTATGGAAACCAATGGTTTTGAATGATGTTGGGTGTGTGAATGATGACAGAATTTACCTGACCCCAAGCAGGAGGCAGTGCGTAAGAACAAACTCTTTCATGGAGTCTTTGCAGGCTGGATGTGCTGCTTTATATGGGCTCTTTAAAGTGGAGGTATTGCAAGTGGATAGTTCACACTCAAAATTATACAAATTTGCTGACTAATTTACTCATCCTCAAGTGGTTTCAGACCTTTAGGAGTTTCTTTTTTTCTCGTTCAGTCCTTATAAGATATTAAGACAAGTAAGAAAATCCCTCAAGTAAGCTGGAAACCTTGGTAAACAAATACTGTATAGCATAAACGTCAATGGTTTTCAGCATACTTCAAAATATCTTTTTTTGTGTTCAACAGAAAACTTGTAAATAGGAGGCAGTACAAATTCTTTCACGGAGTCTTAACTGACTGGAAAGATACTATTGTAAGTTCAGATGTGGATATGTTAGCTGTCCACCTTTACTTTTACACTAAACTAGAACGTGATGCAAATTGTAGCATTAAAGGGATAGTTCACACTCAAAATATTTTGAAG